TGCTCAGAGGATCACTGTGGTGGTTATGTTTTTGTGTCAACTTGGCTAGGCCTGGTTGAGTGGCTGGGCAGCTGGATGCAGTATTCCCCACGATGAGACTGGTAATCAGCTCCATGGTGGAATCTACTGTGAGGAGCTGAGTAGCTGCCTTTGGGTATATGATCTGCTTCCCATATACAAGCAGCAGCTTTGGGAATGGTCTCTGGCTTATGGCATGCTTGGACCATGCATGTAGCTATGTCGTTGTTCAGCAGCCTGCCATACTCTGACAACCTTGGGACTTAAAATGGACTTGAATTAATGGCCTGCCATGTGATTTGGTAACATCGGGACTGTGCCTTTTTACTTGTCAACCTTGGGTTTGTCAGCAATGGCCAGCAGCTGTCTGAGTGAAGAAATTCCCCTAGCTGCAGTGGGCCAGGAGCAGGAGGCAGAGCTGGACCCCAAGACTGAGGGGCTTTCACCCAACCCCTAGAGCCTGGCACTTTGAACTTGGACTTAAAGTCTCCAAATTGTAAGAATAAACTCCTGTTTATTAAAGCCATCCCATTTGTGGTATATTATTGGCAGAGCAACACTAAGTAACCAGAACAGAGCAGTTGGTAGTGGTAACCAGGTACCATCTAGTTCTTGTGTCAGACTAGTGGCTTATTAACTCTTCAAAGCCCTTTCACATGTTTTCATCATGTGATACTCCCAATGAACTTCTGAAATAGGTGTAACATGTGTCATGTTACTGATGAGAAATTGGACCCTGGAGAAGTTAAACAATTGACTGAGTTACATCTAATAAAAAGGTAGAATTGGAACAAGACCTTAGCATACCCATATCCATGCAGGTGTTATGATGAAAGAAAATGGGGCTTCAGGATTAGCTAGACCTAATGTCAAATTCTAATTCAACTACTTACCAGCTACACATTCTGGTCAAGTAGTTAAATTCCATGAGCTTCAGCTAACTCATCTCTAAAACTGGATAATAATAAATAGTTCACAGGGTTTAAAAGAGGATTAAATTTATGTATAGCAATGGAGAGGACCTCTGGTGATGGTTAAAACATTTGGCTGCTAAGCATAAGGTAGATATGGTTCAACTCCACCAGCTGTTCAATAGGAGAAAGGTGAAGCAGTCTGCTTCCATGAAGATTTACAGCCTTGGAAACCATATGGAGCAGTTATACTCTGTCCCATAAGGTCTCTATGAGCTGGAATCAGCTTGATGGCAGAAGATCGGTTTACAGTAAAAGAGTATATGGCTCATAGTAGATATTTTAAGACATCTCCAACCTACTTTTTATCATTCATTCCTTCTATCTTGCTCCCATCCATCCATATGTACATTCATAAATATACCATGTGATTGATTCTAGGAGATCATGTGGAATAATGAAAAAAAAACAAAGCATAGATTGTAGAGTCTGATAGCTCTGGTTTTGAATTCTTCTCCACCACTTATTAACTCTTTTCTCAATACCTTAGCTTCCTCCTCAACACAAAAGAGACAATGATTCTAACCTTACATCATATAAGGATCAAAAGAGAATTCATATGCAAAGTGCCTATTTCTGGCCCATTCTAATTGTTCTATAAATGACAATTTCTTACCTCCCCTTTGTCTTAGTTAATTAATTAATTCAGCATTCATGTCTTCAATGCTTACCGTGTGCTACATATTCACTATACCAGTAGCCCTCAGTGTCAGAACATATTAGGGACTTGGCCAATTGTAAAGTGTTTCTTTCATTATTAATAAAGTTATAAAGTTCATGTCTAACTTAGTTTCTCTATAAAATAGAAAAGACCCCAAATTAGCCTAATGATGATGTTTCTTAGGCTTAGACATGCTAGGGACTTCAAGGAGAGTCTAATACCTGTGTGTCCATAAGAGCAAGACATCACCAGGGCTCCATCATAGCAGAAAGCCTCAATCCAACAGCAGATATGGGAAGTCTTTAGTCTAAACCCCAGGACTCCTCTGTGGAGCAGATTTTTGTATGAGAGCAAAACATACTGGGGCAAAGGTCCCCTCAGCCTACAGTCCCACTCTGATGATATGGCAAAAGAAGATCACAAGAGAAATAGTGCAGAAAATCCAGTTTATTCAACAGTTGAGTCCTTCCACAAGCAACATGTCTCTCTTTTATGCCTTTATTCTTATTCTTTATTCTTTAACCAGATTATCTTTATGGGTCCTATGGTAGCATACTGCCTAAGGCACTTGACTGTTAATCAGAAGGCTGGCAGTTCAAACCCACCAGCCACTCCTCGGAAGGAAGGTTGGGCAATCTACTTTTGTAGTGATACCACTTCGGAAACCCAAGGAGGGGTCGCTATGAGTCAGATCTGACTCAACAGCAGTGAATTTGGTTTTTTGGTTTAGATCAATCAGACACTGTAATCTGAAAACCACACCTCTGTTACCATCAGAGTTTAGCAGGACAACTAGGGTAACTATTTTTGCAGAATTTAAACTTTTGTGTTTATTTGGTTTTGATTTTGCAAAGCCTGAAAGAAACCCTCGTGGAGTCCCTGACCTTCTTGATGCTCATTTCAAATGTATTGATTTTTCATTTTATTTTAAAAAGTATTAGGTATTGCAGGTATTTTCTAGCATTTCTTGTGGCACAGAAAGGCTCCAAGTCCAAATATCCAACCACCTGACTTCAAGCACCCTCATCATTTGCACTGGTGAGCACTTGGACTTTCTCCAAAGATGGGGAACCACTAAAAGGAGTACCACACTCCTGTGAGGTTAGCCATGGGAAGTGAAACTTTTAATATCAGGAAGGTTTCCAGAAAAAAGTAGATTAAAGGGCTGCAGTGTAGCCTGAATTTTTCACAACCCTGGAGTCTGCACCCTTGTTTGTTCCATAAGCAGCAATCATAGAAGACAGGTCTGGCTGTTAGGCCTATTAGACGAGTTTAAGAAGAAGTAAGAGTGAGCTCTACAGGAGAGGACATGGGGAGGCATGACACAGTTAATGCAGCAGGGTCTTGTTTGCTTTCATTTGGAAAGCTGCTGTTGTTAGATGCCATCAACTTGGCCCCAACTCATGGCAACCCTATATAGTATGTTCTGATCTATAAAGTTTTCATTGGCTGATTTCTGGAAGATTGCCAAGTCTTTCTTCCCTGTTTTTAGTCTGGATGCTGCACTGAACCCTGTTGAGCATCAGAGCAGCATGCCAGCCTCCACTGACAGACAGGAAGTGTTTTGGCTGGGAATCAAACCCTAGTCTCCTGCATGGAATGTGAGCATTCTACCATTCAATCACCACTGCTCTCCTGGGGAGGTGGGTATCCCATAAATTATCTGAGATAGTGAGATACTGTCTTCTCTCCTCTTGCCTTCCCCAGCTTTCTCTGCTCCTCTTCCCCACCCACATTCCAAACTTTGTTTAAAAAACATAATAACTTTTGGAGGAATCCTCCAAAACAAAAGTTAGCTCCAGCCCAAAGGCTAGAGCAGTTTCCAGTATGATTTTATTCTATTCCTGAGATAATATTTTAAGCATAGCCTCAGCTGTCCAGGAAATTGTTTCTGTCCCTATGGACTGTTACAGTTCATTTTTCAAAGCATTGCTGGATGTTTAAAGATGAACAGTTTAAAAAATGAAACAGAAAACAGTGGACTGTCATGCTGTTTGCATTTCAGAGGTAGGGGCAAAATTCAAAGCCTACTGCTCAAATGAATGACTGGTCTGTGGCCACAAAACCAAAGCAATTTTACTCATTAAAATTGACCTCAGAAACTAAGGAAACATTCTCTGTCCTTCACATACCAAACATTCATAGTTTCTGTTTTGTTTCCATGGTAAGTTTTTTTTTTTTTTTTTCCTTGGGTGCTATCTCACTTCTGTCTTCACATTTCTTCTTTATGCTTTTCCCTTCCTTTTTACTTTTCTGCCTCTGTTCTTTATTGCTCTTTATTTACCCTCATCTCTCCACCTTTTACTTTTTCCTTCTGAGTTTCTCTCTCCTCATCCTATTAATTCTTTCTCCTTTAACAGGCCCCTGTTGGCACAAAGAGTTAAGTGCTTGGGTACTAATTGAAAGGTTGGTGCTTCGAACACACCCAGGGGTACTTCTGAAAAAAGGCCTGGTGAGCTGCTTCCAAAAGATCACAGCTGCGAGAAACTTGTATGACACAGTTCAACTTTGACACATATGGAGCTGCCATGAGTTGGAACTAACTGCATGGCAACTGGTTACTCATTAATATGAAATTAGATTTCTATTTTTAAATATGTGTCAACAAATTTGTGTATTCTCTGTTCTTAATTTCTAAAACAAGTGAATTTTTTCAGAAACAACTCTGCCCATACTAATCACATATCAATTATTAAACATTAGATTATTAAAGAGGCTCACATATCTCAGATTATACTGATGAGACAGTTTTAATGTAAGCAGAAGATATAACACTGAAACTATAGGAGAAAGATATACATTGGAGGGATCCAAAGATCTCAGGCACAGATTTATTTGTCCTTCCACTGCTGGCTCTTACAGAATAAGCTTTGTCACCAGGTCTCAAATCATCAAAAGTATGCATGCAAACATTTTGGTCCCAGGAAGCCTAAGCTCTGATGTCTGGCTCCATAGGCACATTTCAGCTACCTGACAAGTCTCAAATACTGAAACTTTTAGCACCACTGAAACCAAGTGCAAGGTATAAATCCAATTAATATTGTTAAGCAATGTTGACAAGTTGCTATATCCTTCCCTGAAAAAAACTCACAGCCCCATGGTGGCAAAACAATATTTATCTCTGGTTAGTACGTTTTGAAATTTTGATCAAAGGTCAGCACAGCTTCAGGAGCCCTGAAGATAACTTTGGTCAATTCATACCCACTGAGGTTAATCTACGCTCTCTACCCTATTTCTCGGTAGCAAAATCCCGCTAAACTACTTTGTTTTATATTTAAGATAGAACTGCAATTGTTCTTTGCTATACATCTACAGTCGGTGTTTTCAGAGTAAATTCTCTCAAGCTCCATTTAAACAAAGTGAAAAGGATTAGCTGCTGCAGGCAGATCTTTCTCCCTCTGGCCTGTTTCCTTCTCAGCCCTCATCTTCCACTTCATCTCCAGGATGGCCCTTTCCACTTCCTCCACAGCTCGCTCTCTCCTTTCTACAGCCCTCTCCCGCCATTCCACTGCCTTCTCCCTCATAAGTACTGCCTTTTCCCTTTGGCTGGCCCATAAAGCCAGGGCCCCTACCTGCTCAAGGAGCCTGGCCCAGTCACCCTCAATTCCCATGGGGAGCTGGGACCCTTGAGGCCTTGGGTCCTGGCGCTGCCCTGCCTGACCATGGCCACTCTTCTCCAGCTCCTCTTTGTGCATGCTTTTCAGATGTTTCCACAGGGCTGTGGTGCCCACATTAACCCCAGGGCCACGACTCACCTGCCTGCCACACAGGCGACAAGTGGCATATTGGTTAGGGTGATGCCCAACTCGTGCCGGGGCCAGGTGGAAATATTCCCATGCCTCAGAAAACCGAGCCCCCCGGTTATGGGGCACTGGCACAGTGGGCATGACACTTGCCAGTGAGCCCACCTGTTCTCCAGTCTCACTCATCTCTTCTTCCTCTTTCATCTCCAGATCCTCTTTTGCCTTCACCCTAGTTTCTTCCTCTTCTTCCTCTTCCCGTCTCATCCTGCCTCTTTTATGACTTGCCTTGTGATGGTACCTAGACTTGAATCAAAGATCTTAACTGAATTATAAGACTAAATGTATATTTGTGAAGGGGCTGTGGTAACTTGGAAATTCACAATAATGATCAAAGTCTGGATATACTTGGGTGGTTTATTGTTTCCTCCTTTCTGTTTCTCTGGATAGTCAAGCATGGGGATTGCAAAGGAGTCAAACCACAGATCCAAGAAAAATGGTCTCTGAGGCTCTCACATACTTTCCCTCCGTGACCCAGTTACTTAGTGATCCTTCTTTGGCTAGGCTAGAGAGACAGAACAAGTGAGTTCCTGTAGGAAAGGCTTTCCCATCCAATGATTATAACTTCAGTGAACTCTGTTCTCTACATCAACCAGCACCACGGGTGTTTTTGAATATTAAAAATTTTATATTTTCTCTTGATTCTTCTCTTGCTATTTCCACTATTTCTACGCTCTTTGATACACCTATAAAGTGCGTTTTCACCTTTAGAGGCAGGAGGAACAAGGGCTCAGGGCTGGTCTTCACTGGGTTATCCTCATAGTAGGTAAAAGGAAGCAGGGGCAGATGTTGATGTAGGAGAGACTTTCACCTTCTCACACCGTTTCCATAAGCAGCAGTCCAGAGGCTGCAAAGCCTGCCAGGGTCTGGGTAATAAAGATTCCAAAGTGAGGTCAATTTGTCCCCATACAGGTTCCTGTGAGGCAGGGAGTCTAAGAATTCCAAATAGCAGGCTTAGCTGTCTTCAGCAGGAGGAGCTGGCAGGCATGGAGGAGAAAGAGATGGCGCCTATCCCCATGGGCCTGCTGTCTGGTCATCTGGGCAAACAGCTCGCAGGACTCCACCTTCTCTGGCACAATCACCTGCAAAGCCAACAGCCAATATGTCTTCCCTGACAAATAATTTAGTTAATCCCAACATCTGCCTTACTTACTCTATTTTAGGGATAGATAACTAAATGGAAAATTATACTGCATTTAGAGACAGCCTGAATTCTCTCTCCTTTTTTGGGAGGTCATTACATAAGTGACTGAAAGACTTACTCATCAAGCTTTGCCACCCCAAACAGTTAAGAGATTCCCTCCTTGCTGTAAGTAGGTACTTACACAGGAAAGCCGGGCTCTGGACTTGCTCTGGTCTCTCCAGTATGCACAGCGTGAGTGCATCTGTGCACTCTGGGTCACTATTAGCTGACTCCTATCCCTAAGGGGAGGGCACCTCTAGTTCCTGTTTCCTCCCACTTCTGCAGGAGTCTTGTTTCCAAGTGGGTGTGTCCCTGCCTATCAGGTTTTACTGTAACACATACACCCAAGTGCAAACTTTCTCTCCCCCGTCCCCTCCCCCCCCCCAAATAAAGATGTCCCCGGCAAGCACTTTCAAGTCTCAGTTCTGTTTCCTTATGACTAGATCATCTGATCTTCCAAGAAAAGAAAGAGATTTAAGGGGTGGAGGTTGGGGGGAGGTGAAATATGGACACAGAAACCACATGTCTCAAGGACACCTGTGGTTTAAAATACTTTGTCCATTTGTCAAACCACAAATCTTGATCTGGGGTTTGGAAACTATGATTACTGTATAGAGTCAGGAGAAAAATCAAAAGCATTTACAGAAAAGGGAGATTAAGTGAATGAAATCTTCTGTTAAAACAAGAATCATATTAAGCCAATAACAGAAAATGATAGAGGTTTATTTTATATACAATTTACAAATCGGGGTAACATTTTGACTAGGAAATCAAAAGTATTCCAAAGATTAAAGATTAATTATTATATTCTATCTTATCTACCTTGCCATAGAAATGGGGCCAGAACAATGTTTACATAATAACAATTTACCCTAAAACATAGCTTCTAGTCTGACCTTGGAGTTTCTGTTTCTCAAAACTGACTTCAAGTAGGTGATTCTCCAAAAGAGCTCAAAGCCTAAGGCAAAATGGTCATTACTAAGCTACTTCCTTGGCTATCGTTTGACTTAAGAAAACCAATTTTCTCAAGGCTCAAGGTTCAAATGAAGCTCTTTGTACTATTTCTCACTTATTTTTTAAAAAGTAATTTTAGAAAAACCAACTTTTGGTTTGTCTCTCACATACAACAGACGTACAATGGATGGACAAATGATTTTGACTTTCCAGCAGAGGACCACGTACATGTGCACATATGTATGTGCACATATATTCATGTCTATTAATTTCTTCATATTGTTTTCAGATTTAATATGTTTTCCTTTTACTCATTTGGGTTAAATGTAAGTTCCCAATTGTAAAGAATTCCATTTGTTCAGCAAAACCAAATATGCTTGAGGATTCAGAAGACCTTTGATACTAAGTTGAATTAAGTTTAAGACTTTTCAATTTTAGAGAGGCTGGGAGGAATTTAGGACAAGAGCCATGTTCCTGAACCAAATATTTAAACACAAAGTCTAGAGATGGTATAGAATATTAGAAATATAAATCACTGTAGAATATATGAACTTACCAGCTCATTTTCAAATTTGATTCTTCAATTTTTCAGTAGTTGATAAGGGATTCCTTCATTGAGCCAGTAGCCCTCATAAAGTAATGTAACCCCACATGTTCCTGATATTAGCAGAACATCATCACTTTGGTAGGTTAACTGAGCATGGAGGAAATGAATCATGAAGATGGTTAAAGGTATTGGCTTTAACACAATCATTTACAACTTTTTGTTTGTTTGTTTGTTTAACATTTCTTCTGTATTTCTTATCTCACTTCAAAATCACCTAGATATACATCAATGTTTGGTATTTTATTGGATTAAATGAGCTAATATATTTTTTGTTAATAAGAATGCATTTTCTGGAATTGGTTTATTTATTTACCTTTAATTTCCAGAGCAAAGAGAAGCACAGTTTCATGACTTTCCTTCCCCACTATATGCATGTGTCTGGAAAAAAAACAAGTGTTAATGAGATGGAAATACTAGGAGCTATGGCAGTTAGCCCGCTCTGAAAGTCTCATTGTTTCCTTGGAATCTTTGTGGTGGTATCCTGAGAGATATTAAGCTGCACCTCACTATGAGCTCACCAGGAAAGTGTTAGTTAGTATACCTGAGTCTGGTTTCTCATGTAGGTCTAGACTTTGGGAGTAACTAGAATTTGGGAAAATTGCACACCCAGTCTCAAAAACTGGTTAATTAATATATTCATCAATTTGGGGAAATTGGCACACCCAGACTCTATACAGGTTAACTAATATATTTATCAGTTGTGGAGAATATATGTGAACTAAGAACCAGGTCTGATCCTATGTAAAACAAATATGTCTCTTGGTGGAAAATAAGTAAGTAGCTATAAATGAGATTATAATTTTTCAGATGATCAGATAAAAATAAGGGGAATAGGATAGTTTTACAGGGTATCTTTATCAGGCTGTTGAAGAAATGACCATTTTCCAAAGAACAAACTCTTCTTAAATAATTTTGGAAAAAAAGCATAATTAATCCTAAATCTAAACTCTCTACTTTTGTAATTACTTGTTATTCCATCACTTTCTTATTTTAATATAATGTGTTTTAGCAGGAAATATCCTGGAATGTAATTGAGCTAACATAGTTTCTAATTGTGCCATTAACTACTACTTTCCACTCTCTTTAATCCCTCTGTCTTGGTTTCCCCATCAATCAAATCATAATAATAAGGCATGTTTTGCCTACACTATAAAGTCCTTAGGAGCTCTGGTAGCATAGTGCCTAAGGCACTTGACTGCTAACCAGAAGGCTGGCAGTTCAAACCCACCAGCCACTCCTCGGAAGGAAGGTTGGGCAATCCTACTTCCGTAGTGATACTGCCTCGGAAACCCAAGGAGGGGTCGCTATGAGTCAGGGCTGACTCGACGGCAAATAACAACAACATAAAGTCCTTAAGAAAATATATAAATTTTTAAATTAGAACAACTCTGTAGAAGTCAGAAAATGAGATGTCTGTATTAAAATGTGTGTGTGTGTGTGCATGTGTGTGTATGTGACTACAAACACATTATTTGGTGAATGGTAACAACATGAGTGTATCTTTTAGATTCTTTTTTCTAATAGAACATTCTCTGGCTTCTGCCTGTGACAGCATCCTCCTCCTGTTCTTTGTTTCCATGTAGTACTATTTTACTCTGCCTATGCAATATTGTGATTTCCTTTCTCCTAGGATTCAGAATCCAGACTTGCAACATTAGTATAGTTCTAGCCATAAATATAGAATATTTCTGTAGGAGATAGCCAGTTTATAATCCACAATCTATTTTAAAGGGAAACCCTGCCTTTTACATTATCCAGCTAAAAGTTAAAAAAAAAAAAGAAAAAAAGAAATCATTTTTGCCAATTGTTTCTCTAATGTGAATATTGGTGTAGATGTAAAGAAAAAGTTTCTTCTGAATTTTCAAATAAAACTTCCTGCTTTCTTTTTGCCCCAGAGAACATTTACCTGTTCACTGAGGAATGTATTTCCCACAGCTAATCTCACATGGTTTCTAGATGGAGGACTTCTTCAAGGTGAAAAAGAAGGTGAGCAAATTAGTCCATGGAAATGGGTTTGGAAAAGAAAGAAAGAAAACAAAGAACAAGGAACACAAAGTAGAAGTTGTCATTGCCCAAGCTGATCTTGACATTTAATAATAATTCTCATTCCAAGAAAAACATTGTCTTACCTACCAAATGCCATTTTCTGATATCACATGTGGCTCTTCCAAAGGAACCGGAGGTAACATTTCCTGGAATAAAAGAAATACAGTTGACTTTGTCAAACCGCATGCAAACACTAATGTCTTAATTTAGCAAAAGCAGATCTCATATGAAAGCAAGAACTTTAATTCAACATAGTTTTATTAATTGCATTTATTTCATTAATACCATTACTCAAATCAATAAGCTAATTATTTTAGCTTTTTCTTATGTGTAGGTGAGGGGAAGGGGGAAAAGAAAAGCAAACTAGAAGTATATGTAAAGGACTTGGCTCCATGTCAAGGAACAAGTTCACCAGGAGAATTAAAAGTTCCTGGAGCGAGAACAAACACTGAGAAAAACTCAGGTGATAAAGCACAAAGCATATTTTTTCATGGGAGATGATGATGGCAGCCTCTGTCAGAATCTTCCCAGCCATCCCTTGCACTCCACCCTACTCTACCCCCAGACCACAGCCCTTCTCCTTTCTCCTGTCTCATTTTTCCTCAGAGCCCAAAATACACTCAACAGAGACTGGGTCACATAACTCTTGCTGTATTATTATTTTAATCAATAAAATTAAAAGCTTATGTTGATGAATAACTACATTTATCACTTGATGCATTTTGAGACGATTTGTTTTGTTATTAGTTTACTTTAAAATCACAACAATGGTATCAGTGGGTTTGACAAGATTCATTGAAAATATCTGTTAAAGTTAATTATAAATATATTCTCTTGTTAAAAAAAAAAACAAACTTATTTGAGGTACCCACAGGAGCTCCTCGGAAGAAAAATGGGGTAATCTACTTCCATAGTGATACTGCCTCGGAAATCCAAGGAGGCGTCGCTGTGAGTCGGGTCCAACTCGACAACACATAACAACAACAACAACAACAACAACAACAACGCAGGAGCTCTGGTAGCATAGTGCCTAAGACACTTGACAGCTAACCAGAAGCCTGGTGGTTCAAACCCACCAGCCACTCCTGGGAAGGAAGGTTGGGCAATCTACTTCTATAGTGATACTGCCTCAGAAACCCAAGGAGGGGTCGCTATGACACAGGAGGCACAAAAGAACAACAACATTATCCTCTCAGCCCTGAGGCAAAGCCCCAAGGTTGAAGTAATCCATTAACTCCTAGATTTGAAGCACCCTGTTACACTCGCAGCCTTGAGGCAGACAGTGTGCTTTGAATCTCATCAGTATACAACTGCATTTGTTTCAATAACTTTGGAACTAGCATTGAGGACCTATAATCTAAAGAGATGGCCCACCATAATAGTTTTACACTCATTTCTTGCTGCCATATATGCTGTTTGGAGGCTGAACTAACAAAGATAGTTAAAACAGGGTTCCATTGATAAAGAAGACTAACAGAACCCAAAATGATAATTGCTTATTAATCAGCATTGGACTGCTAACCAAAATGTTGGCAACTCTAACTTATCAGTTGCTCTGGAAGAGAAGGATGAGTCAGTCTGCTTCTGTGAAAATTTACAGCCTTGGAAATTCTGTGGGGCAGATCTATTCTGTCCTCTAGGGTTGCTATGAGAAATCGACTTGATGGCAGGGTCTTTTTTTGGGGGGAGAGGGGTATTAATCAATTTACAACTTATTTCAGGAAAAAGGGTATAATATAGCAACACCATCAAAGTAAGGATATGCATCACACACATAGATTTACAGTAAGGCGTCTGGAGATGTCAGGTGTGAATTTCTTCTCAGATCAAGAGCTACCAACATGGTGTCTCAGCTATGGTTATTCTCTATCTTTCTGGGGGTTGTGTAGATATATTCCTGATACATAAACAGACTAGACAACAAAACTCTCCTGGAGACCAGGGACAAATCATCCATTTCAGTGTTATCACTAAAAAATGCTGACAAGTTGGGGCAATCTGCCCCAAGATCCCTTGAGCCCATTATCACAAAGCACTCTATTAATCAGTATGGTTCATACTTTGACCAAGCATAAGTGCCATACAGGACCTTGAGTGAAGCAGCACATGTTAATTCCAGGCCCAGGAGAATTAGCTCTCACTGCACAGAGTCTGCAGTTTGACTAGTTTAGATTTCACATGGCCATACAGTGAAATGGGAGCTCTGGTAGCATAGTGCCTAAGGCACTTGACTGCTCACCAGAAGGCTGGCGGTTCAAACCCACCAGCCACTCCTCGGAAGGAAGGTTGGGCAATCTACTTCTATAGTGATACTGCCACGAAAACCCAAGGAGGGGTCGAAATAAGACAAGACCGACTCAACGGCACATAACAACAACAACATACAGTGAAACGTCTCCAGCCATGATTTGACATCACTATATGGTTCATATAGAAAAAGTTGATAACTTAACCATGTTTTGCTCTGTCTTTTAGTAATACACATTACTAATGAAGAGAGAAAAAGCAAAGGTGGATGTTTGGAACTGAAGTCTGTATTGACAAGGCTGTACATTAATGAACCAACCCAGTCAAACAACCTGACCATCTGGTGTGTGGCTCAGTCTCCAGGTCCTGGGAATAAAGTGTGGAGAATCTCATCTGAAAAGATTTATTTTTCTTTAGGTGAGTTGTCTAATGAGGTCAATAAGGCTGACTAAGCCTATCCTAAGTTCAGAACATGTCTAATTGGAACAAATAAGATACTCATTATTTCTAAAATATTGTCCACAATATTGGAAAACTCTCTATATAATTCATAATAGTTAAAATTCAAGTTAGTAAATATTTTTGACAAATGAGGTTCTAATGAAAAGAATCCCTTCGAATAAAGAATAGCTGGTCTCTATATTCCCATGATTCCTATGTTCCCACTACTCATCTGTCAGTTCTTCATACTGTAGTGGATTATGTGTTGATATAAGGCTGGAGGCTATTCCATTGGTATTTCAAATACTAGCAGGATCAGTCACGGTAGATGGGTTTCAGCAGAGCTTTCAGACAAAGACAGACTGGAAAGATGGGCAGGGAGATTCACTTCTGAAAAAAACTGGTCACTGAAAACTTTATGAATAGCAGTGAAACACTGTCTGATATATTACTAGAAAGTTATGAATAGTCATGAAACATTGTCTGGTATAGTGCCAGAAGATGAACCTGTCAGGTTGGAAGGAACTCAAAATAAAACTAGGGAAGAGATGTCTCCTCAAAGTAGAGTCAACCTTAATAACATAGATGGAGTAAAGCCTTCAGGACCTCCATTTGCTGATGTGGCATGACTCAAAATGGGATGAAATAGCTGCAAACATCCATTAATAATCAGAATGTGGAATGTATGAAGTATGAGTCTAGGAATATTAGAAGTTGTGAAAACTGAAATGGACCACATAATTACAGATATCACAGGCATTAGTGAGCTGAAATGAACTGGTATTGTCCATTTTGATACAGACAATCATATGGTCTACTATGCCTGGAATGACAAATTGAAAAGGATTGGCATTACATTCATCATTAAAAAAAAAAAAAAAGTTTCAAGTTCTATCCTGAAGTATAATGCTGTCTGTGATAGGATAATATCCATATGTCTACAAGGAAGGCCAGTGATACTACTATTATTCAAATTTACACACCAACCACTAAAGCCAAAGATGAAGAAACTGAAAATTTTGATCAACTTCTGCAGTCTAAAATTGACTAAACATGCAATTAAGATGTATTGATTATTACTGGTGATTGGAATGCAAAAGCTGGAAACAAAGATGAAGCATGTGTAGTTGGAAAATATGGCCCTGGTGATGGAAATGATGCCAGATCACATGATAGAATTTTGCAAGACCAATGACTTATTCGTTGCAAACACCGTTTTTCAACAACATAAATGGCAGCCATAACATGTGACCTTGACAGATGGAATACATAAGAATTGGATTAAGTATATCTGTAGAAAGAGTCATTACAGAGGTTCAATAATATCAGTCAAAACAAGGCCAGGAGCTATGGAATAGACCATAAATTACTCATGTGCAAGTCCATGTTGAAGCAAAAAAAAATTAAAATAAGTTGACGAGAGACAAAATACAACCTTAATTATATCTCATTTGACACATGAACACCAATGACTGATGACCAGATGAGTTGTGGGATGACATCAAGAACATCATACATGAAGAAAGCCTATCATTAACAGGACAGGAAGGGAAGAGAAGACCAAAATGAATGTCAGATGAGACTCTGAAATTTGCTCTTGAACTCAGAATAGCTAAAGTGAATGGAAAAAATAATGAAATAAAGGAACTGAACAGAGATTTCAAAGGGCAGTTCAAGAAGACAAAGGAAAGTATTATAATGAAATGTGTAAAGACCTTGAGTTACAAAACCAAAAAGGAAGAACATGCTCAGCCAAAGTTCAACAAGACAGAAAATAACAAATGCTGGCGAGGTTGTGGAGAGATTGGGACTCTCGTACACTGCTGGTGGGACTGTCAAATGGTACAACCATTGTGGAAAGCA